GTTTCTCAGTTCACTCAGTCATCCCTTGGATCAATAGCTATTGCAAAGAAACAAGGTTAGCATGATTGGCCTAACCTGGCTCACATGCAAGTCCTGGTGTCAGGAATGAGCTAACCATGACTGGCATTTCCACCAGAGCCATTTACAGTGAGGGTAAATGTGTTTCCCCAAAGGAAAGAAGACTAGGCAGATCAAAATTGACAGATGTTCACTAAAGCTTCATGGATATTTAAACTGTGCCATCATAGATGAATTGTTTTTTGTCAAATGAAGCAGCAACGGACATCTATTATTGTTAGAGGAAGCAAAACTAAGAGGACATGAACCAGCCTGGAAGGTCAGGAGACTGAAAGTAGTCTTTGAGGTTGGATCATGGTAGGGGGCCATGGCTTGAGATGAAGCTATGAGATACACAGGAGCCTCATTGGCCATGCTAGGGAACCTGCTCTTTGCACTGTAGGCAATAGGGAGACATTCTTGGTTTTAGGCAAGGGTCAGAGGTGGTCAGATTTCTGTTTTAGAATATCACTCTAGCAGCAGTGTGGAGATTGAGTTGGAGAAGCCAAGAATGGGTGTAGGGAGACTAATAAGGAAACCACTACAGTAAGCCAGCTGGATGTAAGTTCTGTAGTGTGCTAAAGATGCTAATATGGAATAGTCTCCATGTCCAGGTAGGAGATAGAGGAAGGAGTGTTAAGGCAATACTCAAGGTTATAGTGGGGAAGCAAAAGATGTGGAAACTGGCCGGCAGAATCAACATGACTTGGTCTTTCAAGAAAGTAAGTGTCTAGGATGACTTAGATTTCTGACTTGAGTAGTGTCATTTGCTGAGATGAAACATATAGAAGAAGGAACAGGCATGAAGGTAGAGGGTGGGGGATTGCTTGAGATGGTGACTGCATGTGTTTGAGTTTGGGGGAGTGACCATGAATAGTTGGCAGTTCAGTATAGGGATCTGCAGCTCAAAGGAGAGGTAGAGTTGTAGAGTTGATGAGAATGAAGGACCCAAGAGTTACTGGTTTTGTCCTGGTTAAGGGAAGGAGAAATCTGGAAACCAGTGGGCTAGCCAGGGGAGGAGCACAGCTCAGACCTCAGCCATCAAACAAGCGTCAGAAACTGCAAGTGAGTTCCTTAATGGTGTCCTATGCAAACTTGTCATTTGACTCATATCTAATTCTGAGCATAGGCTGGTTGCGTCTTTTTCACCTAGAAGTGACTTTAAGACCATCACTGTGGGCTGGGTTCGGTGGCTCACACCGAGCCAGTGGCTCAGTGGGAGACTGAGGTGGGCGGATCACCTGAGGTCAGGAATTTGAGACCAGCCTGGCCAACATGGCAAAACCCCATCTCTACTAAAAATACAAATATTAGCTGAGCGTGGTGGCATGCACCTGTAGTCCCAGCTACTCGGGAGGCTGAGACAGGACAATTGCTTGAACTCAGGAAGCAGAGGTTGCAGTGAGCTGAGGCCGTGCCATTGCACTCCACCCTGGGCAAATCACTGTGAAAGGGAGCTCAACTAGTCAAAGAATCCTGCAATAGCTATAGATGCACAGTGGGTCCTTGTCATGGGCCCAGGTCCAGGGTCATCAGTCAGAACGCGGATGTAAACATGCTAATGCTGCTGCCTGGTTGTATGTGCTAACAACTGTTCAGTTCCAAATTCTAACCCAATAAGGAGTTTCCTCAGGGGAAATATATGACTATAGCATAAATGGGCTCAGCCTTACTGCTTTCCCACTGTTACCCCTTCCTGCACCAGCACTCTTCTGGTCCATGTGACTCAAAGCCAAAACACTGCTTTGCCTCACCCCCCAGATCCTATTAGTCTTGAGTCTCATCAATTCTGTTTCTTGCATTTGTCCTTCTCTTTCCATTCTGATTGGTACAACTCTAAGCTAGGAGTCTTGTTAGTTCATCCATCCTCACTGCACAACCAGGTGAATGGAACATCCTCTTAAGGCACTTAAATGATATTTGAATCCAGAGGTCAGCAAACTAGGACCCGTGGGCCAAATCTGGCCCACTACCTATGTTTGCAAATAAAGTTTTATTAGAACACAGCCACACTCATTCATTTAAATATTGTCCAGGACTGCTTTTGAACTACAATGGTAGCATTCAGTAGTTGCAACAGAGACCGTATGTCCCACAAAATCTAAAATATTTACTTTTGTTTTACAGGAAAAGTGTATCAGCTCCTATTAATCTGCCTTATACATGAATGCCAGATTAATGTTCCTAAAATACCATTTCACCGTATCATTCTGTAGCTTAGAACCCTGCAATGACATTGCATTGTCCATGCAATAAAATCTAAACTTCTTGGCCTGGTATTCATGGCCCTCCATGGTATAGTCCTAGTCAATATTTTGAGTCATTGATCTCTGTTCCTAAAGGCAAGCCCTGCACCCAGTTAGATTTTCCCCCTCATTGTCCCTGGAATATGCAGTACATTTCTACCCTTGTTCACCTAGTTCCTTTTGCCTGGAATGTATTGCCCATTTGTAGCTACCTAAATCCTACTCATTCTCTCTTTTTTTTTTTTGTTTTTGAGGCAGAGTCTTACTCTGTCACCCAGGCTGGAGTACAGTGGCATGATCTTGGCTCATGGCAACCTCCACCTCCCAGGTTCAAGTGATTCTCCTGCCTTAGCCTCCCAAGTATCTGGGATTACAGGCATGCACCACCACGCCCAGCTAATTTTTATATTTTTGGTAGGGACGGGGTTTCGCCATGTTGACCAGGTTAGTCTCAAACTCGTGACCTCAGGTGATCCACCCGCCTCAGCCTCCCAAAGTGCTGGGATTACAGGTGTGAGCCACTGTGTGCCCGGCCCTAAATCCTACCCGTTCTTAAAGAACTAACTTGAACTCTACATCCTTCATGACCATGTCAGTTACAGCGATCACCAATGAGCCTGCTGCTTGAGCATGTAAAAGTCTACTTCCCGTACTGCCTGGTAAGGTTTCTTCTGCTCAGAGAATGGTTCACCAACATGATGATGGGCAACTCTGGAGTGAGGACTTTCTGATGGAACAAAGTCACGGCTGTGGGAAAGCCTGGGAATGATTTGGAAATGACAAGACACGTAATGAGAGCACATGACACTCAATTAATATTTGTGGAAATCTCGAGTCATCAGCCTCTCATATCTATGACATACATCTTGGTTCTGTATTTAAACGTAGGACAACTACATATCTTGATAACCAGTGGGAATGACTGATAAAGTCCTGTAAATCTACTCTTGAGAGATTCTAGAATGTAGAGATAGCTGATGGTCCTGGAAGCCCTAGCTTTATCATGTGCTCTCTCTGAGATGCTGGATAGGTGGGCTGTTCCCACTGTGCCTCACTTTTCCCATCTACTGTCATATGTTATATGGTCTTACACACACTCTGGGATTAAGTAACATCAATTATGCACCATTGATTGGAGTTCTTTGGTAAATGGTACTATGTTTCTAAAATATTCATGCGTCTTACTTTATCAGGGGGATTATATCCCTGATTTAGATATTATATTCTAGTGGCTTAAGATTATGAGCTAATATTTTGTAAGGTCTGGGCATTGCACAGAAAACCTTGGTTGTAACACACATTATTATTACATTGATTTGAATAGCAATGGTACAATCATAGCCCTGGAAACATAGCAACTACATAAAATGAAAGCTTCCATTAACACTGAGCACAGCAGCCAGGCTTCCGCATTGTTGTTGTCCCCAGGATTTGGCTCTTGTATTGTCAAATGCCATTATGTCTTGTCTAACAAGTTTCTCCCTGCATATGTGAGTAAACGAAAATGCTCCAGTATAATAAATGTCTCAGCAAACCACTCCTGTACACTTTGGAAACAGAACATTAACAAGGAAACTATCATGAGAGCAGACCTTTCTGTTCTCATGAATCACATTCATGTGATGTTTATTGTCTGCATTGGAGAAGTATAGAGAAGAAAAATATGAAGGGTACACTGTAATGGAAAGGTTATAGTGGAAATGCAAGGAAAATATATCCCTTTACAACCAGCTTCCAGGCATTACCTATAAGTAAACTTACGACAATAAGACTAAGAGCAAATAACATTGATTGAGCACTTACTCTGTGCCAGGTATTGTTCTAGGCCTTTTACATTATATCCTCTCATTTAATCCACTCCACAACCAAGTGGTTTGTGTGCAGTTATTATGTCCACTTTATGTACAAGAAGACCAAGACCCAGGGAGGTAGAAGAACTTGTCAGAAGTCAGACAGGTAGTGAGTGGTAGAGCTGGGAGTTGGACTCAGACAGACAGATTCCAGACTTCATATTTACCATAACCTCAGCTGCCCCACCCACATGAAATGCTACCCCAAGGCTAGTGGCAGCAAAGGTCACCCATTTCATTTGCATGGTTTGGTATGTCCAACTGGGTGATTTGTCCTACAAAATTTGAAACAATGTCTGCTTATTTATGTCTATGATTTTGATCAAATAAATCTCACCCAGAATTTCCCACTATTTCATTCTATGGTATTTGCAGTTTTAAGAACCTCTGTCTTTTGGATTGAGACATTTTTATTCTTTGTGTCCAAATTAACACTGCACAGAACATGGTTCTCTGTGTGTGTGTGTGTGTGTGTGTGTGTGTGTGTAGAAACTGCCTTTTCTTTTGGATTAAATTCTTGCAGCCTGGCTGAGTGAGGAGAATTTCTCCCACTCTTCGAGCCTACAGCAGACATGTTAGGAGAATGCTGCTGCTTGCAACACACCCAGAGACGGTGGGGCAGGTGACACTGCGTGTGTGCCCAGTGTCTCTGGAAGTATCTATACAGATGTGTGCTGCTGCTGCTGCTGCTTTCTGCCTTAAAATTTCTGGAGCCAACACCCACCCACTCTTACAGCCTCTCTCTCTTTATTTTCAAGGAAAAAAGAAAGAGGCAGACTGAAATAGAAGGCAAGCGACAACAGCTTGACGAGCAGATACTTCTGCTGCAGCATTCCAAGGTAAGCGGCTGATCCCAGGAACCTATTCCATTATTAGACATGCAGATCACACTCCGGAGAGCTGGGCAGTGCCTGCCCTGCCGTGAAGGCACTGCCGCCAACCAAACCAGCCTTTCTCATTCAATCAGGAAACCATCTCTTGGCTTTTCTTGTGAATTTCTCAAATTTAGGGCATTATTACAGCATTCCAATTTCTGCAAGCATAAGATTACAGTGTGCATGTGGATGGGGTGGAGGGTTTGTGCATGTGAAGTGTGGTGGCTATATATAGAAATTGGATGAGAATACTCCACAGGGTGGGTGAGGCAGCGTTTCAGGATTGTTTCTCCCATGCATAGGTGCTGGGTGTGTTTGCTCAGAGACCCCAAAAGATATATTTCACAGAATGTCCTTTTTCTCACTTAAAAATATTAGTGTTTCCTTTCTTGATATGGAGAAAAGGGAGATTAAACAATGTAATCTGATAAAACAACAACACTGTGTATTTCAGATTATTCATTTATTTTACTTCTACTTTAACAATTTTGAAAGTGTTCTGTGAGAGCAAGCAGTTGGTCAAAGATGGCTTTGAAATGATTTGACTCAGACGGGTCTCCATGGTACCATCTAAAAAGAGAGAGAGAGAAAGGGAGACAGCACACAAGAGCTATTTATTTTTTCTTTAAAACATAATGCACTTAAGCATTGTAATTGATTACAGCTCAGGAGAAAGCTCTGTCACTGTCACAGGGACCCCACTGGTTGCAGAATGTTGCTTTTCACATGTTCAGAGAATAATGTGACCACATTCCGATGGCCAGCCGGGAGTTGCTGCTGGCCTTTGACTGCTCCTGGGCTTTTTGGTAGGAAAACCTTCTCCTGCTTACCTCACGTTGCTGTGCCGTTGCCTGCACAGAGCTGCATTGCTCAGAGGGCTGGGTGGGAAGGTGGTGCTGACTTTCGGGGTGATGCTCAGTATGAATTATTTGAATTTTTTTCAACAAGATAAACCTTTATGGCTACTTTTCCTATCCTTTTCTAGAAAACAGGATTGTGCTAAATGAATTCCCAAAATGAGAGCCATCAGCAAGCGAGTTACTGATTGAAAATAGCAGCATGACCTATATCTGCTTAGCATGTTTATCAGTTTTTGCCATTAACCTTAACCAGAGAAATGTGCTTAAAAGGAAGAAAAGCAGCATGATACCGAGGATATTGCCTGTTTCTCTCTGTTTCATCATATAAATTCATTGACAGATCTTTCTTTGTAGGAGCTCACACTGTATCCCCTGTGCTGTTGCTGTTTCCCCACAACGCTCCTGAGGGAGGATGGAGGGCTAAAATTAGTATCCTCTTCTCACAGAGAGGGGGCCTTAAAAACACCTAATAGAACTGAGTGAATTGTTCAAGGTCAATCTGGACAGAGCTAGGTCTCTGGCTCAGGGTATAGTCCATCCAGTACGGTACTTGTAAGAGACCAACATGTACTAAAACCTCAGTGAATTCCTGGTTAAAGGTGAACTTTTAAATAAGAGGACTGAATGAAAAAAAAAGAGGCTGCTTTTGCTCACTTTAAGCTCAAGGTAGTGCTTTGCTTTTGTATTCCCTGAATCCAGTCAGGGAATAAACATATGTCAAAACATCAAGAGATTTTTTTTTTTTTTTTTGGTCTCCCTTCTCATGATCCTGGATGCCAAATAAGATACCAAGGGCTCATTTATTGCCGATGTCCAGTGCAGTATTAGTATATTCTGTTCATTTTACATCTATTCATTTTTGTTTGTTTGCTTGTTTGAGACGGAGTCTCGCTCTGTCACTTGGGCTGGAGTGCAGTGGCGTGATCTCGGCTCACTGTGAGCTCCGCTTCCTGGGTTCATGCCATTCTCCCACCTCAGCCTCCCGAGTAGCTGGGACTACAGGTGCCTGCCACCATGCCTGCCTAATTTTTTTTTTTTTAATTTTTAGTAGAGACGGGATTTCACCATGTTAGCCAGGATGGTCTCGATCTCCTGACCTCGTGATATGCCTGCCTCAGCCTCCCAAAGTGCTGGGATTACATACTCATTTTTCATCTATGCATCTGTTCATCCATCTTTCCGTCTGCCCATCCATCCATCCATCCATCCATCCATCCATCCATCCAATCAACAGAAACAACAGTAAAAATTAACTTGGTCTTGTATGGGGAAGCAGTGAGGTTTTTCTCAAGGACTTGGAAACAAGGGAATCAGCTAGTTCTTTATGGTTATCTTGGTAAAATTCTTGCACAGTTGATGAGATTGGTTATCTGAGGAATCACCTGACACTTGCACCATGGCAACCTTGCTATTGCAGGGCAGGAGGTGGGTGAGGTGGGGAGGACTGGAGGTGATGGTAACTTACTAAGTGGAGGTCAGGGCATTGTATGCCTCTCTCTGGGAAAGGCTTGTGTGGACAGAATGAGGGTGAGTTATTTGCCTTGAATACTGAAAAAGAAAAGCTCAGAGGTTCCAAAGGTGGCAGTAGTTGTCTGGTACTACATGCAGAAAGACCCCCAGCTTTGGGAGGTCCTGAATTTCTGTATGCTGGTGAGGTGGGGTCAGTGGTAAGGTGAGGAGGGTCCTCAGGCCACAGTGAGGCCCCGGTGAAACTTCCCTCAGGACCTTACCTCTCTTTGTTCTGAATTCATCCTCCCTATAATTATTCAGTTATTTTGATATGAGGAAGGGGTTGCCTGACTGAAAGATATGATCACTTTAGGCCCTAGGAAGGCATATATTTCACTTTAAATCAATAAACTGGTGACTGAACTTGAATAGCATGAGACTTTTTCCCTGTAATCATCCAGTTTGCAGTCTCGTGGCCTCACCCCTGAATGGAAGTACATTCGCAGAGGTTGTATTTTCTCCTCTGTGAGCCTCTCCAAGGAGTCAGCCAGCTTTCTGCTAGTAGCCTGTTAGCCACCGTCAGTAACAGTCACCATTTTTTTGAGTGCCTAACATGTGCCTGGTACTTTAAACACATGCCCTCAGTAATGACCACAAGACAGTTATTACTCTCTTTGTCTTATAGGTATGGGAACAAACTCATGAGGTCAAGTGATTTGCCCAAGACCATAGAGACTATAAGTGAGGGAGCCTGAGAGAAACTCCTGGGCTGTCTGCTTTCAAAGACTGAGCTCTTTCCAGGCCACTGTTCTCTTTGAAAGAAATGTTTCCTTTGGAGTAATTCATCTAGTGAGATGCCAGTTACTATCATTGCTGTCTCTCTTACTCTAAATATATTGTTATGGCCTCCAGAAAATTCAGATCATGTGGAGACATGCACTGTGATTATTGAAGTTCCTTGAAGTAGAGAATATTAGGAAATATGTCAGTAATCAATATTTATTTCACTAATTTGCAAAATCTCTAGAAAAAAATATTCTTACTGCATTAGAGTTAGTTGTCATGTTTATAAGATATAACTTTCATATTCTTTATATAATTCTCATATTCTATGTCTTAAGATATAATTCTCACATGTGGGAATTATCAAATAGCCTGCGGACCCTTATTCTCATGCAATGAGATGAATTATTTAGACAGATTCACTTGTCCCTGGTCAAAGCAAATAAATAATATGCAAGATAGTAGTTTTGGCATTCATAAATATTTTTAGAAGACTTACTCATTGCAATATTTAGGAGCATATAGTGAGCAACTCTACAAAATGGAATATCATCACTTTGCATATGGACTTTGAGCAAATTCTATAATACAATAAAAGACCAAAGTATAAAATGGCAAAATACTAGCTGCTACATCCCAGTGATTAGGAAACCTCAAGACACTTTGAACTCCAGGCCAAATTAACCTCAGATTTATTTTTTAAAGCATCCTTAGCTATATGTAGTGTGGCATAATAATTTCTAAGCATTACAAGTAGAACTAGTAAGCAATCTTTATAGCTGTATTATTTTTGATGATTATAAAAGGAAAGAATGTGTAATCATTGCAAAAACTGAATTAAAAAGTACAGGAAAATATAAAGAAAAAACGTATGTACTGTATACTTACCATTCAGATAGAACCCATACAGAGGTATATCCTTCTATACTTTTTTCCCCAATGTATTTCTGTAGATTAAGATATGTAACCATCGTTCACAGGGCTCACCAACCTGTGGGTAAAATGAAATTATATAACATTAGTATTGAAATAACATTAACCTTTACCTCTTTTTTATGTGGGTTCTTTTTAATTCCCATACAAAAATTTATAATTTTTATAAAATCCCATAGAACATTCTTTTACTTTAGGATAACTGACTTTGATGTCATCCTTGAAAAGAATGTCTCCATCTCAAACTGTTAGTTATGATGTTTCTTATACTTCAATAGCATTAATTCATCTAGAATTTATTTACAGATGAGTTATGCAGTAGGAATATAACTTTACTTTTTACTGATGCTGAGCTGCTTGTCTCAATGTGATTTATTGATTAATTCATCCTTTCCCTCGCTGATTTAAATGTCTTCTTTATCACCTACATATTTCAGACTTACATTTGAGTCCGCCATTTATGGATTCTTTTTATTCCATTAATCTGCCCATTCCTGTGCCGGTATTGTTCTCATTTAATCCCTATAGCTTTTTAATATATTGTAGTATTTCATAAGACAAGAACTATCACTATTCTTTTGAAAAATTGTCCTGGGTTTTTATTTCATAGAAACAATTATTTATTTTTATTGTTTTTATAATGAGACTTGTGATGATATGGACTTTTAAAAAATAAATCAGTTACTATATCATATGAGAGCAGAATGAATTTAATATTTCCTTCTGTCCCTTGGTTGAATTGCCAGAGATTCGTCTATTTTATTGGTCTGTTCAAAGCCCTGGCACAGAGTAGGTACTCAGTACCTACTGCAACATGAATTCCTTGGAGACTGTCATATTTACAAAGGTTTGCCTGACAGAGTTGGCCCTGTCAGAATCAAATTGCTAATACCACATCTTCAATACATAAACTGCCTTTGAATTACTTATTCATGAGCAGGGAACCCTCTCTAGAGTTGTCTTCTAATCCAAGCTATAAAAATTGTCATTATATTTTGAAGACCACAACCTTTTCTTCCAAGAAAGCTGGATGAAAAAAGATGAAAGGCTGAATTGTGACCCTGTGAAATATTTATTGTGAACCCACTAAGGTCATTTGCTGAAGAGCCTGAAGGTATCAGAAGACTTGCTACAAAGATATTACAGTGTCTTTCCCGGTTTTGAAGACTTAGCACTAATTTTAGACTTTTCCTTGTTACTGGGATGTGTGAAAGGCTTATTTCAAATTTTAAAATATTGAACAGATAGGCATGGTACACAGTGTAAAGTAACTTTAGATCTCCTCCCTTATTTCCATACACAGAGCTTGAATGGAAGTTAAAACCTGATTTCTTCTATCAGAAGTCTTGGGTTGGCTTCTCCCTGTGTGGACTGAAGCATATAGCAAAATCTCAAAACCTAACTAAGATCTTATTTACTGGGAGTCAGAAAGAGGAAGAAAAGAGTAGGAAGGATAGGGGAAGGGGAAGAGGGACAGGACACAGATGAATGTCTGAAAACACAAACACAGCTGTTGCCTCACGCTGAGTTTAACCCATCTTCTGTTAGAAAATTGAATTTAGGCCAGGCGCAGTGGCTCATGTCTGTAATCTCAACACTTTAGGAGGCCAAGATGAGGCAGATGATCTGAGGTCAGGAGTTCGAGACCAGCCTGGCCAACATGGTGAAACCCCGTCTCTACTAAAAATACAAAAATTAGCTGGGCTACCTGGGAGGCTGAGGCAGGAGAATCGCTTGAACCTGGGAGGTGGAGGTTGCAGTGAGTCGAGATCACGGCACTACACTCCAGCCTGGGTGACACAATGAGACTCCATCTCAAATAAAAAATAAGAAGAAAAAGAAAAGAAAAGAAAATTGAATTTAGCCATATTCCAACCATCATCCACTAGAATAGCCAATATCAGCTTCAGCCAGATTACAAATGCATGAAAGATCGAGAGTAAAAAGTAAAATCATGAAAGTACACAAAGGAATCACAGGCGAATATTTTTATAGTGAGGGTAAGGAAGTCTTATCTAAGTATGACATCAAAGCCAGAATGTGCAAGTAAAAAAGATTGCCAGATATGACTTTATAAAAATAACAAACATCTGACCAGGAAACAATTGGAGACTTATTACAAGTTCTGATTCACCTCCTACTTCCCCACTCTGCCTCACCCACCCTCTCCAGACATGCCTCACTATCTACCGGGGTCACCTCAAAAAGTGGTATCTAGGCTGGGCACAGTAGTTCATGCTTGTAATCCCAGTACTTGGGAGGCTGAGGCGGGAGGATCATTTGAACCTAGGAATTTGAGACCAGCCTGGGCAACATAGATTCCATCTCTACAAAAATAAAATAAAAAGTAAAAGAAAGTAAGAAAAGTGACTTCATTACAGTTACCTTAGCTGTAGATGAAAAAGATTGGGTTAGATTATCTCTGTGATCTTTTTCTTTTTAGCTTTAATGATCCAAGATTTTATATTTGCTAAAGTACAGTGTATGTGCATGATTTTCCAAGAATTCCTCACATGTCAGCCTCCGTGGATGAATAAAAGATATAGCCCTGACTGTGAGGACTCAGAGGCAAGTGGGGGAGAGAGAGCATCAATATGGAACCCACCATTAGAGGAGCTGAAAAATAGTTTTCCATGTTAGGAAGTGGATCAGCGGCACCTGATGATTTTGTAAATCCTATTTGAGCCAAAAAAGGATTCTTCAGTGATCTTACATAGAGGCAAGATAGCAGAGTGTACCTCTTGGCTTCAAATCCCAGATCCACAGCTCACTCGGTGTGATACCATGGATAAGTCAGTTAATGTTAGCACCTACCTCGTGGGATGCTTGTGAAAATTAAGTGGATTTACACGTAAAGCACATAAAGCAGTAAGAGTTCTATAAGAATGATCATATTATCACCATCATCACCCTGTACTATGGCTACAAATACCATTTATGTATCTATGACTCCCAAATTGACATCTCTAGCCAATGGCCCTTGAATCCCGGTCGTCCACGTTCAACTGCTTTTCTGACATGTCCACTTAGATGGATGTCACTTTCATTTAGAAGCCTCTCAAACTTAACATGCCCAAAATGAAAGATTTTATTTTCTGCTTTTCTATCATTTGTTCTTCTACTCTTCCCTGTCTCCAATTGATGATACCACTATTCACCCTTTCACTCAAACCAAATATCTATACGTCGCCCTAATCCTTCCCTTTTTCTCAGCCCACATCTAATCTATTACAGGTCACACTGATTTTACCTGCAGAATGTACCACCATGCCTTTTGATTCTTCTGTCTCTCTTCTGTTTCAAGCTAATATGCTCTGTCACTTGAACCATACAATAAACTCCCATCACTTGTACTTTGTAATCCTGTCCCTTGCAATGTGTTCTTCCTATTGTACTTAGAACACACAGCAAACTCCTTAATAAGGCTACAGAATCCTACCTAATCTGGCCCCAGCCTTCTTCTCCATCTTCAATTTGTTCTGCCCTCCTACCCCAACCTCACTTATTGTGGTCCAACCACTCGGGCATTTGTTCCGGTCCACAAACACACCAAACTCTGTCCTACCGCCAGGCTGGTACATTTGCCAGTCCCTCCACCTGGAACACCCCTCCGGATCTCAGATTTCAGCTCGAATATTCAAGTCATCAGAGAGACCTTTCCCACTTTAAGTGTCCTCCCTTGGCCCCCATTTGTCACACTGTCCTATCTACCTCTCCCTAGGCAGCATCATAGTCTGAAATTATCTTGCATCCTTGTTTATTGGGATGAAGGCTTGGGTGAGAGTAGGGACTTGCCTGTCTTCCTGGGCTGTGACTTCAAGGACTGGCAGAGTTCTTGGCACCTAGGAAAGGGATAAGAGAGCCACTGCTCCTGAGTTGGAGACACAGAAGGAGAGGATGAGGAGTTCTTTTAGATTATGGTGTTTGGCCAGCCATTGAGAAAGCTTGTGTATTCTTCAAGCATTTGGATAGTCATAGGTCCTCATGCTGTGCTACTCAAATTGTGGTCCTCAGTCTGGCATTGCCAATGACAACATCACCTGGGAGCTTATTAAAATTCAAATTCCCAGGCCTTATGCCAGACTTAGAGGATCTGCGTCTCCATGGGTGGGTCCTGGAATCTGTCTTAGGAAGTTCTCCTGCTGGTTCTTATGCATACTAAAGTTTGGGAAACTCAGTTCTTGTTTTTGTTTTCCAAAGCTGGCCAGGCCAGTAGAGCAAGAAACAGATTTACTTTGGGAGTTCCCTCTGTCCTCCTTTCAGAAGCCCCTGTCAAGATCCCCTTTGTCCAGCTCCCAGCTCCCCATCTGCTCGTTCCTTGTACTGACTTGTCATGGTGACATTCATTTGACAAATGTGAAGTTTGACAGTCCTTAGCACCTTGGGAGGCCAACTCTGGCCTGAAGTCAGGAGTTTGAGACCAGCCTGGCCGACATGGTGAAACCCCATCTCTACTAAAGCTATGATACTATGTTAGATATGATACTTTTTTTATGTAATTGGACAATAAAGGCCATAAACAGAAAAGTTTTTTTAATTTTAATTTTTTATTTCTATTGAGCTCTGCTTCCACTAAATTCTGAAACACTCGGGCAGCCAATACAAGCCAGCACAGTTTAGGGAACCTGTGCTTCGGATGGCACACTCAGTATACCCCATTCCATTTGGAGACATTTTGGAGACAACATGAGGGGGATCTGGAGTCAGTTAAGGAAGCCTTTTGAGTTGAGTTGGTGATTTCCCGACAGCATGACTTTGGAGCCAAGTGGAAAATCAACTATACATTTTTGGCTTCTTAAAAATGTCTAAACACCTTTGTGAAACAGGATTCTGTGAGACCAGGCCTACTGCCTTTTCCAGGTTTTTTGTTTTGTTTTGTTTTGTTTCGTTTTGAGACAGAGTCATGCTCTGTCACCCAGATTGAAGTGCAGTGGTGTGATCTCGGCTCACTGCAACATCTGCTTCCTGAGTTCAAGCAATTCTCCTGCCTCAGCCCCCTGAGTAGCTGGGATTACAGGTGCTCGCCATCATACCCACCTAATTTTTGTATTTTTAGTA